GACGACCTAGGGGAGGTCCAGGATCGGTTCAGATAATCACCCCGATGTCGAGCGCGAACGGGAATCGAACCCGGGCTTCGTAGCGCAGCGTAGCACCACCGCCACCGCTCTCCACCCTCGCACCGAAAATATCCGTCGCTCCATCCTTTACAGTCTGCGAGTGGCAAGCGTTGTTCGCCGAGCCACACTCTGTTTCGTTGGTATCGCCAACGCCGTGAACCCCTCTGTGTTTGCACGACCACCCGCTGCCTCTCTGCTAAACCCACGTCTGACAACGCCGCCTTCCGAGGTCACTTCTTTTTAAATCCTTCATATTAAGTTCGCTTGCTTGCTTGCGTGCTTGCGTGCTCGCTTGCTTGCTTGCTTACGACCGTGCAAATCTTTCGGTCGTTTTTTAACCCACTTCCCGTGATCCAATCGAGCTGACATTTTGCACACAGACTCGCTGTGCGAGACAATTAATGTTCGTGAAAAATGTTTCAAAAATTTTACACTGTTTAGGGAAAACAAATTAAATATTTAATTACAAATTGTTTAATACTGCAGACAATCATCTGACCCATAGGTGGCAGCCATCTCAAGCCAGAGGACGAGAGGACTCTAGCCGCCACGCATATAAAGGATTTAGAGTGAAAAACTTTGTTTTTACGGGTTATACTTATTAAATCCTTTATATTAAGTTCACGAGCTTGCTTGCTTGCGCGCTTACGACCGTGCAAATCTTTCAGTGTTTTTTTAACCCACTTCCCGTGATCCAATCGAGCTGACATTTTGCACACAGACTCGTTGTGCGTGACAATTTATTTTCGTGAAAACAATTCCTACATTTTACACTTTTTAGGAATTTTTTTTATATTTAATTTAAAATACCAATGTGATAAAGATGAAACTCTTACTCAAGAAAAACAGAAATGATTAATAAAATAAAACCGATGCCACGCATATAAAGGATTTATAGTGAAAAACTTTGTTTTTACGGGTTAATTTTTTTGTTGTCTTGCTGCTGCAAGGTCCATCTCCGATCGACCCGTTGCCACGTTCGGGAATCGATTGGCGCTGAGTTTAGCCCAGGGTGCTGACGACGGCGGAGTGCGTGACCACCGCGGCACCAACTCCCCAGGGCCGCCCGGGGAATGCCCAGAGGCCCTGGGCAAGATGCATCATTGTGGCCTGCCCCAATCATTGCTCGCCACAAATGTAGCCACGGTGGCTCGCTTGATCTCGTCAAAGGAGCGTGAACCATCGTCACGCAAACTCCGCTCGTCCTCGTAGCAGCAGCAGCCGGCGGCTTTTGGCTGCTCGCCATCGAACGAAGGCGGCGGTCACCGCGTCGCGCGGCGCTTTCAGATGCGCTGCTGCGGCCGTCTGGAACGTTCTTCCCTCCCGATATTTGGAAACCCCTGGGAGCTGTGCACTTCTAAATCATCATCATCATCGAGATTGAAAAACTCGTTTCTTTAGAGCCGCTTTTTGTGCTTAGTCTGTTGTCCTCCCCACGCACCTCCGAATAGCGCGGTTGGCTACGTACGGTGCGAACGAAGTTCAAAAGCCAGAGTGCACATACATGCAGTGACCAAAACTAACGGGACCTTTGTGGGGGGGGGGGGGGGGGCTCTCTTTGTGCGCAAGGAAGTCGTGGGCTCGACTCAAGCCAAGTTTCGTGTTGGCACGGCCGATCCAGTTCGTAGCAGAGGTCGCAACCGGGTACCCGATACCCGTACCCTACCCGATACCCGGCTACCCGTACCCGGCCGGGTACGGGTAGCCGTTTGCGACCCTGGTACGGCCGGGTATGGGTACGCGTAAGGAATCAAAACCCGTTTGCGACCTCTGGTTCGTAGCCCCACGACTGTACGAACTTGAGCCAACGACACGAGCCGCGCAGGGCAGCTCCAGACTTTGCTCTCATTGACCGTCAACTCGAGGCGAGTTAGAATGTGCACGGCCCAATTTACCGTCGTTTGTTTTAAGCCTCTCAGCAAATACGCGATAAAACCGCGTGTAGAAAAAAAAAAGAAACTCGTCGCGGGCGCTGCAGCTTTGCTCACTGTAAGTTGCTTCTGTTCTGAGTGCTGCTCGCGCTGATAGCGCAGTGAGAGCCGTCACTGCGAGCGGCTGATAAGAGGAGAGTTCACAGCCGCAGGGAGGGGGCCCACGACTTCATTTCATACAAACCACGACTCCATTTCAACAATGGCGTTTGTGTGACGTCACAATCGTATGACGTCACACTCGTCCGACGTCACAATCGTCGTGGTTGTAATGTGACTGAGGGCATTTAACTGCCTGCCGTCGTGTGACTGACCCGCTTGGTGCCACGTGATTGTGTCTAGAACGCTGTTACCAAAGGCGCGTGGGAAGCCTCACGCTGCGTGGATTTGCGGCGGAGAGGACCCCGTTACGTCCCAATGAAAAAAAGGTCTTTGTCTCGTGTGAGATGACGCAATATTATAATTGATGTGTAGTACTAAAAAATGTAATTCAAATCAAAATGATGATTCACCTCCATGGAGGAGCAGGAGGAGGGGGTGGGGGGTCGTTAGCTGTGTAAGTTGGCAGCTGGTGGTAGTCAATCCGCCTCTAACGATGCACCAACTCATATCGAATCGAAATGGATGTGCTGCAACAATAACAAACGTCTTTTGATTCATCCGTGTTGTCGTATTTCAATTGATTCACGTGACCCCCCCCCCCCCCACGGTCACTCGCTACAGTCACCTCCCATCAGCACGCTTGGCTACGTGCGGTGCGAAAGAAGTTCAACACACGTGCATACAATGCAAAAATGTAGACAGTACGATATATACGGCAAGTCCTCGCTGAACGCGTTTTCGCTATAACGCGGTTCTTCCATTCGGGAACACCTTTCACAACAACGCAGAATACGCCCCCCCCCCCCCCCCCCCCGTTATAACGCGGGTTCTGAGCGGGCAATGACGAACTACAGCAGAGCACTGTAATCCGTTCTCGAATCGAATTGCGAACAAATGATCGATCTCGCTGTGGGGGAGGGGGGGGGGGTTGGTGGGAGGGGTTTGGGGGAGGGGTGTGATTCATCGTCACACGCCGGCTTGAAGATTGAAAAACACTGCCCGCAGCAGTGCCCCATTGGCAGAACAACAGGGAGCTAAAGCGCAACTGGATGATTCTCGTTAGGGGGGTGGTAACTGCTGCGGCCCCACGTGCGATGTCAACACACCCAGCCCACCTGGCTCTGTGACGTGGCCTCTTGCCAGCGTCACATAAAGCCTCCCACCTGTTCGCGGTGGCCTCGCTCTTCGCCACACCTGGGGAGCAGGTGAGGTGCTCCAGTGGCGTCATCACACCGACCGCTCGGTGCGTTGACGACTTCCAGTGCCGGGTTCTCCTGCGCCGGAGCCGAGCGGTGAGTTGCGCACGGTGGGTTTGCTTCACTGCGCCTCGGTGGCTAGGAGATGTTAATTACCTCGCCGGGTATACAGGAGGTCGTGGGTTCGAGCCCGACACTGACGCCTGCTGTACATTTGGAGTTTGCGGTGTGTATCTCATCATCACGGTGGCTAGAAGATGTTTACTACCTCACTAGGTATACAGGAGGGCGTGGGTTCGATCCTGACACTGACGCCTGTTGTACATTCGGAGTTTGCGGAGTCTCTTTCTCATCATCACGATGGCGAAATGTTAACTACCTCGCCAGGTATACTGGAGGGCGTGGGTTCGATCCCGACACTGACGCCTGCTGTACATTTGGAGTTTACGGTGTGTCTCTCATCATCACAGTGGCGAAATGTTAAATACCTCGCTTGGTAGACAGGAGGTCGTGGATTTCATCCCCACCCTGACGATGCCTGTTGTATATTTGGAGTTTGTGTGTCTCTCATCATCATCATGGTGGCGAGATGTTAACTACCTCGCCAGGTATACAGGAGGGCGTGGGTTTGATCCCGACACTGACGCCTGCTGTACATTTGGAGTTTACGGTGTCTCTCTCATCATCATCACGGTGGCGAAATGTTAAATACCTCGCCTGGTAGACAGGAGGTAGTCGGTTCGATCCCCACCCTGACGATGCCTGTTGTATATTTGGAGTTTTCGTCTTTCTCATCATCATCATCACGGTGGCTAGGAGATGTTAACTACCTCGCCCGGTATACAGGAGGTCGTGGGTTCGATCCCGACCCTTACACCTGCTGTATATTTGTAGTTTGCGTGTTTCTCTCTCTCTCCCCGTGGTCTCATAGATTTTTCTCCGGGTCCTCCGGTCTTTCCACCTTTAGAAACACGCCTCTGAAAGAAGAGCTCCCACATAGCTCAGCGAGCCTTACCTGGTCAATGTAAAAATAGTTTCACATTGTTTAGTTCAACCCAGCCGACCTGACGATTTGATTTCCCGGCCACGTCTCACGTTAGTGGCGAGCGACCTCCTGAACCCACCCTGGGTTGTCCACCTTGAGCAACCAGTGAAGTAAGGACAACCCAGGCTGGGTGTCCACCTTCAGCAAGGTGAAGTATGGACAAACAGCCCCCCGTGACCGCAGACGCAACGTGGGGAGGCCGTCGTGCAGTCAAGAATTGCTCTGCACTATGATCCACATTATCTCGACTTTTATTCACCAGCATTAATGCGCGCACGTAGCAATCGCTATTAATAATTGACTCACTGTACACATGCATCGTTTATTCGTGCGTTACATCTATTGACAAATCCACAATTATCCCTCCCTATCATTACCGCTCCTTAAACGAACCCCCCACCCCCCCCCAACACTCTGAGGCTGCATTGTGTAGGTGCGGTCGTGCTGACGGGACCCGGCTTTAGAAACCTGTCATGCAAATTCACTCCGTCACCCGATGTTGGAGTCGCCGTTAGCGCCACGCTGCGCTACCAATCCCGCCACCCGAGTTCGATTCCGGGCCACGGTCAACACCGGTGACGGTTATCTGAACCGATGCTGGGGGCCTCCCCTAGGTCGACTCAGCATCAAATGAGTACCTGGAGCGGCGGTGTGTGGACATCGTCACTGGGGAGACAAAGGCGGCCGGGCGTGGTGCTGGCCACTCACCCCCTCATGTGCCGTGCCGGCCTTCATAGGTGCTACTCGCTAACAGCACTTGCCCCAAACACTCAGTTAAGGCTACATGGGGGATCTTTGTCTTTGGTCCCGGACCATTGAGGTGCCCACCTTAATTGTATTACTAAGCAGTAATACAATTGAGGGGGGCACACCCCCCCCCCCCTCCTCCTCTATCAATCCATAATATCCGAGTGAGATAACAGACGACATGTATATGCATAGACACGGGAGGTGCAGTATGGACGGGGAGATGATTATGATTTGAATCGGAGTCGATATTCGACGCAACCAAATGCTGCGTCTGTCTGTGTGTGTGTGGGGGGTGGGGTTTGTTGTTGCTCGCAATCCCCTTGAGTTGCTTGGGACCCCTTGTGCCTGCTGCGTGCTGTTCGCGCTGGGCGGGTTGCGCGCTGTTTGGCTCGCGAGCTGATTAGGACAACTTCGTCGGCGTGGGGAGCAGCAGAGCCCTGCAGACCAAACAGCAGCAGCAGCAGCAGGCCGGTCTCTCCACTTGCTGCTGGTAAAAGTCGACTTTGTTTTTGCTTCAACTCGGCGGAGAACTCCGAGAGACAGGGATATCGCGCTGGGCTGTGTGGGTTTGTGCGGTTTGCGCCGCTGCCGCTGCTGAGTGTGGCTGGTTTGCCAAACTGCGTCCCCGAGTGTCTTCACAGGACGAGGAGGCGACCTGCCCGTTTTGTTGTTGCTGCTGTTGTTGCTGCTGCTGTTGTTGTTGCTGTTGTTGTTGCTGCTGCTGTTGTTGTTGCTGTTGTTGTTGCTGCTGCTGCTGTTGTTGTTGTTGTTGCTGCTGCTGCTGCTGCTGTTGTTGTTGCTGCTGCTGCTGTTGTTGCTGTTTCTGCTGCTGCTGCTGTTGTTGCTGCTGTTGTTGTTGTTGTTGCTGCTGCTGGTATTGTAGTTGCTGCTGTTGTTGTTGTTGCTGCAGCTGCTGTTGTTGTTGTTGCTGCTGCTGTTGTTGTTGCTGCTGCTGCTGTTGTTGTTGCTGTTGCGGCGTGGAGCGGTGGCCCGCGGTGGGTCCCGTCGTGCGCCCTGCGAACCTCGAGGTACCCAAGTTCGATTCTCAACCCCGGCGAGTGATACCTGACCCCCCCCCCCCCCCGATTAACCAAGCCGCATTGACCGGCGTGGTGAAGTATGGTCAAAAAGTACGCACAGGAACGACACGGGCGTGCTAGCCCTGCATTCAGCAGTGGGGAGAGATCAAGGACTGAGCGCACCGCAGTATTATTACAATGACGATTGTTCTTTATTCGGTTTTTGTTGTTGTTTATCAGAGACGTCGCCTATTTTTTTATTTTCAATTTTAAGGCCGCAGTGTTATGGACCGATGTGTTGAGTTCTTTATTTTACTTGACTAACTGTACACCGCTGACAACGCAGCAGAATTGCCAAATCACGAGTTCTGTGCTGACGAGCCCTAAGAAGGAAACGGGTCTCCAGTTGAGTCTCTTTCACTGCTGCCTGCTGGGGTGGTGGTCTGTGCTGTGTGTGCTGTTGGTGTCGCTATGTGTGAGATTCACCTATGACATGCTACGTGTCAGATGCGTGATTGCTACGGGGTGTGAGTGTGTGAGAGCTCCCTCCCAAGTGGGGAGCGGTGGTGCAGCGGTTAGCGCTACGCTGCACTACGAACCCGCTCACGGCCAACACCGGTGACGATTCTTTGAGCCGATCCTGGGCCTCCCTTGGGTCGACTCAGCCTCAAATGAGTACCTGGTGCGGTGTGTAAATATCGCCACTAGGGAGACAAAGGCGGTCGGGCGTGGTGCTGGCCACCCACGCCCTCGTGTACCGTTTCGGCCTTCATAGGTGCTCGCTAACAGCACTTGCCCCTACAGTCTGTTAAGGCTATACGGGGGATCTTTGTCTTTGTGTGACACACTCCGTGTGAGAGAATGTGTGTGTGAGTGTGTGGGGAGCGGTAGTGTAGCGGTTAGCGCGCTGCGCTATGAACCTGGCGACCCGAGTTCGATTCCCGCTCACGGCCAACACCGGTGACGATTATCTGATCCGGTCCTGGGCCTCCCCTAGGTCGACTCAGCCTGAAATTAGTAAACATCGCCACTGGGGAGACAAAGGCGGTCGGGCGTTGTGCTGGCCACCCACCCCCTTGTGTACCGTTCCAGCCTTCATAGGTGCTCGCGAACAGCACTTGCCCCCACAGTCTGTTAAGGCTACACGGGGGATCTTTGTCTTGTGTGTCACGCTACGTGCAGGACGCGTGACAAGCTGTGTGAGCTCACTCCCAACGGCCATCGCGTTGGGCCTTAGGGCCCCCCCCCCATTCCCTCACGTGGTATCTTTTAATAAACATGAATGCACGCGTTGTCACAACGCGTATCGCTATAAGCACCCCCCCCCCCCATGACAATCATCATCGCCTTCAAGCACAAGCCGAGGCAAGGCAGTTGCTTTTTTTTTAAACTTTCTTTAAAACTTTTACCAAAGATTCCCATCCTCGGGACCACAAGATGCAAATTGTTCGTTGATTTGTCTAACTTTATTGTGAACAAACACACGTTTTGGGGTGAGTCTCATAAACTGGTGTGTGTGAGAGAAAGAGTCTATTTGTCTCACGATATTGTCCACACACACACGAAGACCCCGTCACAGATTGACCCTTGATGTTGAGCTTCTACTGCATTGCATCTAAGCGCCGCTGTCATTGACTGCTCGTCACGAATAGTTTGACGAATTCACGCGAAAGAGTAAACGATGATGCTGCTGCTGCTGCGTTGGGTGGGGTGTGCATAAGAACAAACAACAACAAAAACTTTTGATTGTAAAGCTTTCGTGACTGCAGGGATTCATCTTCTTGGTTCTTTCGGTAAAGTCACGTAGAATGGAAATAATAAAATTATTTTGTCAAGGCGCTCTTCCCCCCTCCATACCAGCTTAAATAGACGCTCCAAGCCTGGGGTGTGTCACTCAGACTCTGTCTTCTCGACAGATCTGTTCTCCACCTGAGGACGGCTGCTTGCGTTGTGGCCGAAACGTCGTGAGAATTATTGTTTTATTTTTATTATTTTATTACTTCCATTCTACGTGACTTTACCGAAAGAACCAAGAAGAAGAAAAAAACAACAAAAACGTCAACACATTTGTCGAGGACACCGCGTGTTTGTGCGACCTTACAATAACAGGCGACGTTTCGGGCAATGGCTCTTCTCCGTAGCAACATTCTCTCGAGCAAAGTTCGCCTGCTGACAACTCGTCACAGCTGTGTCCACACGTAAGGACGCGGTGGGCACAGCTGCGTTGTTGGAGTTTGCGGAGTCTCCCTCTCTCGCCTCGTGGTCGCGTGGGTTTATTCCCTCCACATTCGGAATCGACATCAGAGTGTTTTGGCTGCTGTACATCTCCACGTGATGATGATGATGATGCTGCTGCTGCTGGGACACTTCGTTGAACTCTCTTGAGGCGTGGCCAAGTCGCTTCTGAATAAAGAGCCTTACCTGGTCAAATAAAAGTTGTTTAGTTTTCGTTCAACGTCTGAGTTACCAACGCAGATCGATCGATCATTAACTTAGAACGTACAACCATCCGGAACATACTTGATGGTCGCGAGTTAGGATTTGTTTCGCATAGAAATATTTGCTGGCAAGAAACCAATACCTTGTAATTCCATTTCGTAGATGTTAGAGGCAACAACTCGTTTTGCCGTGTCTCCTTTTAAAGACGCAACATCTTGGGAGGGAGGAGGGGGGGTGGCGGGCAAAGTCAGCGAAGTGTGAGGCCACGGCCTTCTTTGTTTCCCCGGGGGTAACAAAAAAAACCCTCCACGAGACAAAGCTCTCCCGTGCGTTGTTGTCTATTTTTGGAGAGGCATGGCCACACCACCATCACGGTCACACCATCGACGCTGGCTCGCGCGCGCACACAATGGCCCCATTATTATTCCGAGCTGTGTGATCACACACTCGTACTCGTACTCACACACAGACACATATTCACACACACAGATAAAGATCCCCCGTATAGCCTTAACAGACTGTAGGGGCAAGTGCCGTTAGCGAGCACCTATGAAGGCCGGAACGGTACACGAACGAGGGGGTGGGTGGCCAGCACCACGCCCGACCGCCTTTGTCTCCCCAGTGGCGATGTTTACACACCGCACCAGGTACTCATTTAATGCTGAGTCGACCTAGGGGAGGCCCAGGACTGGTTCAGATAATCGGCACTGGTGTCAGCCGTGAGCGGGAATCGAACCCGGGTCGCTAGGTTCATAGCGCAGCGCGCTAACCGCTACACTACCGCTCCCCATACACACTCACTCGCACACACACATTCACACACTCGTACTCACACAGACATTCACGCACACATTCACTCACTCACACACACTCACACACATTTCGTTGGCCGATGTTGTTGCAACGCAGAGGCGACCTTCCAGCCAGACCCTGTTCGTACTCCTCCTGGACCAGTCAGAGGGAGAGGCAGGGAGGAGGAGTGAAGGACGGTCGGCCTTACGATGGGCGACAGCTCGGGCGAGTACGACTACCTCATCAAGATGCTGTCGTTGGGCGACTCGGGCGTTGGCAAGACCAGCGTCCTTGGCTGCTACGTCGATGGCAAATTTTCAACAAAGTTCATCTCGACCGTGGGAATCGATTTCCGCGAGAAGCGCGTGGTGAGCTCCCCATTGTCACGTGCACTGCCGTGTCCCACCCACCCCACCGCCGTGTCCCACCCACCCCACTGCAGTGTCCCACCCACCCCACCGCCGTGTCCCACCCAGACCACTGCCGTGTCCCACCCACCCCACCGCCGTGTCCCACTCACCCCACTGCCGTGTCCCACCCACCCCACTGCAGTGTCCCACCCAGGCCACCGCCGTGTCCCACCCAGACCACCGCCGTGTCCCACCCACCCCTCTGCAGTGTCCCACCCACCCCACCGCCGTGTCCCACCCAGACCACTGCCGTGTCCCACCCACCCCACCGCCGTGTCCCACCCACCCCACTGCCGTGTCCCACCCAGGCCACCGCCGTGTCCCACCCACCCCACCGCCGTGTCCCACCCACCCCACCGTCGTGTCCCACCCACCCCACTGCCGTGCCCCACCCACCCCACTGCCGTGTCCCACCCACCCCACCGCCGTGTCCCACCCAGACCACCGCCGTGTCCCACCCACCCCACCGCCGTGTCCCACCCAGGCCACCGCCGTGTCCCACCCACCCCACCGCCGTGTCCCACCCACCCCACCGTTGTGTCCCACCCACCCCACTGCCGTGCCCCACCCACCCCACTGCCGTGTCCCACCCACCCCACCGCCGTGTCCCACCCAGACCACCGTCGTGTCCCACCCACCCCACCCCCGTGTCCCACCCTGACCACTGGCGTGTCCCACCCAGACCACTGCCGTGTCACACCCAGACCACTGCCGTATCCCACCCACCCCACCGCCGTGTCCCACCCAGATCACCCCACTGCCGTGTCCCACCCACCCCACCGCCGTGTCCCACCCACCCCACTGCCGTGTCCCACCCAGACCACCGCCGTGTCCCACCCACCCCACTGCCGTGTCCCACCCAGACCACCCCACTGCCATTGCGGTTCAAGGCAGGGCGAACTGGTCCATGACGAGGGCATCCTTTATATTCCCAGATCTTTAATCCCGGCGGGAAGGAGGGCCCAGCTGGGGATGGCCTGAAGATTCACCTGCAGCTGTGGGACACCGCTGGGCAGGAGAGGTACCCCCCCACCACCCGTACCCCCATCTCGCCATCGCCTCTCGCTACCGGGCTCACGCCCGCTCGCATTCGCGCAGCGTTGCTGTGCGGCGACGCGTTCGAAGGGTCGTGCTCGCTACAAACAAAGCTCTCGCCACAAATGAACCCCAATAACCTCGCCGGCTCGTCGAGGAGCGTGAACCATCATCACGCGAACTCCGGTCAACGCATCGTAGAGACTTTTATTCATGCAGGGCAAATCTGGATTGACTTTATTTCACCATTGAGTCTCACAAGCAAGGTGTGATCTGTTAAAGCATCCACAAATGATATGCTAATGTAATAAAAAATACAAATGCGGCACAATAAACAGGAAACAAATCTAAATATATATATATATATATTTTATATATGATATTCATTTTACCAGCTAAGGCCCAATCAGCTACGTAGCGATTTTTCAGAAGCGACCTGGCCACAAATGACAGCTCAACGAAGTGGCTTATCACGTGGAAAATTACAGCAGCCAAATACTCTAAACACGTGACGTTGATTCTAAATGTGGACGTGAGACGTGGCCGGGGAATCAAATCGTCAGGTCGGCTGGGTTGAACTAAACAATGTGAAACTATTTTTACATTGACCAGGTAAGGCTCGCTGAGCTATGTGGGAGCTCTTCTTTCAGAGGCGTGTTTCTAAAGGTGGAGAGAAAGACCGGAGGACCCGGAGAAAAATCCATGTGAGACCACGGGGAGAGAGAGAGACACGCAAACTACAAATATACAGCAGGTGTAAGGGTCGGGATCAAACCAACGACCTACTACATACCAGGCGAGATAGTTAACATCTCCTAGCCACCGTGATCATGATGAGAGAGAGAGAGACACGCAAACTCCAAATATACAGCAGCAGGCGTCAAGGTCCGGATCGAACTCACGATCTCCTGCACACCAGGCGAGGTAGTTAACTTCTCACCACCACGGCACCCCAATCATCACAATCAGCAGCCATGATCAATCCGCTGCTGTGTGAAGGCCTCCCCAAGTTATTGCCACCTCTCAGGATCCTGCAAAGTAACAATCCACCTCGAGCCTGCAACGAACAGATTCTATCGATCCGATCTCTGTGGCTTGGCCATCGTCCAAGGTACAGACAAATGGTCAAGATAAAAAAAGTGCTCCCTTCCGTACGAATGAGATACATTCGTCCAGCGTTATTAAATTCTCGATACAGAACACAAACTAGAGATATCTGTATATAACTCGTGTGCCGACTGGATCTGCGATTGGTCTCGGTTAGACGAAGTGTCAGAGGGATGTTGATGTGCGCTTGGCAGGGAGTGTGCACGTGTGTGTGGTTGTGTTCTGTGGTCGTGTCTGTGCGTGTGGTGGGGAACGGTCGTGTAGGGGTTAGCGGACTGCCTTTCGAAACCGGCGACCCGATTTCGATTCCCGCTCACAGCCAATACCCAGTGACGCTTATCTGAACCGGTCCTGGGCCTCCCTCTAGGTCGACTCAGCCTCAAATTAGTGCCTGTTGCGGTGTGTTAAAACATCGCCAACTCGGGAGACAAAGGCGGCCGGGCGTGGTGCCGGCCACCCACCCCCTCGTGTGCCGTGCCTGCCTTCATAGGTGCTCGCTAACAGCACTTGTCCCAGCAGGCTACACGGGGGATCTTTGTCTTTTGAGCGGTAATGCAGTGGTTGACCTTAGTTCGATATCCCACTCACGGTTAACATTCATGAAAACTATCTGAACCGGGTCATGGGCCTCCCTTAGGTGAACTCTGCCTTAAATTGAGAAATCCATCAGCATCTGGGACACAAAGGCGCCCGGGCACGGTGCTTGCCATCCTCCGCCCGTGAGTGCACTCTGTTGGCTTTTGTACGTGTTCCCAACTGACACTTGCCCCACAACAATTTGTAAAAGGCTCCACGTGGGGGATCTTTTGTCTTTGTTTTCTGCGCAGATTCCGGAGTTTGACCAACGCGTTCTTCCGCGACGCCATGGGCTTCTTTGTGTTCTTTGACATCACGGACGAGCAGAGCTTTGTGAACGTGCGTCACTGGATGGGTGAGTGACTTTTACGAATCTAAAAAAGAACGAAACATCTATTTATGGTATACTCGATTATCCGCGTGCGGTTTATCAGATTTTTGGATAACCCGCGCATCTTAGATTTTGACATAAATTAATAACTCATAGATTTTTCCTTAAAACCAAATTAATAATCTAAAAACAGTAATACATTGTTATTCCTGGAAATGTTTATGACAAGTCACGTGCTTAAAGCCTTAAACTGAACAAATGCGTGCTCCGGTTAATCCAAAATCCACGTGATCGCCTCTACAATACAGTAGTTGCAATATCTTTACAACGGTGGGGTGGAGTTTGATTGATGTTGATTGACGTGGATCTGCTATCATCCACTCGGTGGGCCAAGTCTTCTGCACAGGAGCAGGAAAGTGTTATCACTGAGCACGTGCATTGATCAATAAATTCCTAACGACAATTTTTTTTCATTAACAAACTTTTTTTTTTACTCTTAAACACAATTTATGTTAGTGATTTTTCGGCATAGAGATTTTTGGATGACCCGCGATTTTGAATTCTCCGCTGCTGTCTTCCCCGACGTGCGCACGGATCATCGAGATTCTACTGCATTAGTTTTATATACGTAGTGTCGTCGTAGTTCACGCAAATTGCCTCTCACGTTCGCTGAGGAACAACAGATCAAGCCGAGGAGCTTCCAGGAGGTCAACCGGCACTACCGACAATTGCTCTGCAGTTCTCTGCACATTAAGATGATTTCAGCCGAAGTTGGTGGAAACCGGAACACCCAGAGAAAATCCACGCATGCGAGGGAGCAACGCTCTATCCCATAAAGAAGGCGCAGACGATATCGGTCCACACTTTGTCCGCACTGCATTCCGCTGGCAAGCCAAGGGTACGACACTTCCTCGACGCCCACGGGAAGGGAGTCTCGCAACATTTTATCATCATCTGAGCGGTGATCCACCGACCCTCGCCGCTGCTGCCCCCACAGTTTAGTATTACCGGGCAACCACGTGCATAGCTACCACCTCCGCCCCTGCGCACGCCTCCCAACTCACACCTGGGCTTGCAAGTGAGCTCCGCTGACTTGAAAATATTTCGTGTGACGATGCTGCCTCAGATTGACCGCAGATGGGCCTCTCTCGCCATCTCGGTTAACGGACGGTCACCGCGTCTCGTTGACGCGCGACAGATCTCGTCTCCGTCTACGGGCGGGCAGCGAGAGATTTTGGTTGCAGGGACCGAACTGCGAATTCGGCGTGAGAGCGTCTTCCGCTGGCTGACGCGATGCTGACCGGGCGATGCGGCCACCTTTGCGCGTGTGTGCGTGTGTGCGTGTGTGTGCGCGTTTGCGTGCGTGTGTGTGCGCGCGCGGGGAAGGACAGACCAGCTGCAGCACCACGCGTACTGCCCCAACCCGGACGTGGTGCTGTGCGGAAACAAGGCCGACCTGACGGAGCAGCGCGCCGTCGGCGAGGACGACGCGCTGTCGCTCGCTCGCGAGTACGGGTGAGCGCAGCACCGGCCTCGACATCGGATGCCGTTTCTGCGGCCGTCTGGAATGCCTCCTTGCGACATTAGGAAGGCGCTGGAGCTGTGCGCTTTTAAGTCATGTAGATCAACAAACTCCTTTCTTTAGAACTGTTTGTTGACAACAAGTCCTCCCCCCGCACCTCCGATTAGCGCGGTTGGTGACGTACGGTGCGAAAGAAGTTCAACGCACGTACATGCTGGCAGAAAGGGCCTTCGCTAGAGGGAGCTCTAGGGAGCCCCTCTGCCAGAGGTTATTTGGTCTACTCTTCCACGCCGGCCAGACGTTGTGGAGGAGGTGGGAGTATCCACACTTTACTTCACCACGTGACCTGCATCACTTCTTTAGAACTGCCTTTTGTGTTTCTTGACCTCCCCCCCCCCCTCCGATAAGAAAATAGTTCAACATACATCCTGTCGATCGGCTAACTGTGGTGAACTCATCTGTATCGCTGGGTGGATGGAGGCGGAGGTGGGGGGGGGGGAGATTTCGAAAAACTTGACACATCGTTTCAACTGCGGCACCGAGACACGGAGTCAAAACCGGCGACCTCAGTGCGCTGACCATCGCACCACGGCAGCGCTCTGGAGGGATACCTAAAGTCATGACGAATGTAGACACACCTGCCTAAATCCGACGCAAGCTTGAGGCTGGACAAATCACTTCAAAGTGACGCCACCACAGGGCACACTCTCTCTGGTGATGTCACCGCATTCGCCCGAGAGCGGCGTGGGCTACGCTGTTCCAAATTCAAATGAAGTCGTGGGCCCTCTCCTGATGGCCCACGAACTCATTTCATACGAGCCGCGGCCCGTTGCGGCGCTACGCCTGGATACGTCGAAAGAACGCCGAGCCGCTCGTGCGTCCCGAGATTCGGCGGTGAACGGGACCCCCCCCCCCCACCCTGCAAGCTGCAGGCGTCTCGGACACAGAAAAGGGGTTAAGAAGCCGGTTGCGCACCTGGCGACAGAGGCGTCCACGTGCGAGCAACTCCGTTGCGTGTAACAACACACCGCTCGGGTGCGGACCCGGCTCAACGCTCGACACCCCTGTGTGTGCGTGTGTGCGGTAGTGCAGCGGTTAGCGCGCTGCGCTACGAACCCGGCGACATGGGTTCGATTCCCGCTCACGGCCAACACCAGTGACGATTATCTGAACCGGTCCCGGGCCTCCCCTAGGTCGACTCAGCCTGAAATGAGTACCTGGCGTGGTGTGTAAACATTGCCACTTGGGAGACAAAGGCGGTCGGGCGTCGTGCTGGCCACCCACCCCCTCGTGTACCGTTCCGGCCTTAATAGCTGCTCGCTAACAGCACTTGCCCCTACAGTCTGTTAAGGCTGTGTGCCTGCGTGTGGCTGCACGTGCGTGTACCTGCACGTGCGTGTACCTGCACGTGTGTGTGTGCCTGCGTGTGCCTGCGTGTGTGCACGTGCGTGTGTGCACGTGCGTGTGGTTGCGTGCGTGCGCTCTCAGGATGCCGTACGTGGAGACGAGCGCGGCGACGGGGGAGAACGTGGCGCGCGCCGTGGAGCTGCTTCTGGAGCGCGTGATGCGCCGCGTGCAGCTCAGCCCCGAGCACGCCTGGATCCCCGACTGGGCCGTGGGGGCGGCTCCCTCGAAACCCCGGAGGTCGCTCTCGCGCGACGACGGTGGCGGCGGAGGAGAGGGGGCCGGCAGCAACTCGTGCGGATGCTGACAAGGGGGGTGCGGGTGGAACTCACCACGATGTGGCCCACGACACCCGGCGCATCCGACGAGACGCGCCAGGCGGTGTCTTTCGCTCCCCGTAGCTCCGTGGCTGCTCCTCACTCATCGAGGGGGGGTCAGCTGTTCGGTGCCCACGTGATCGCTCCCACGTGCTTTTGAGTGATAAGAACAGGGGGCACGTTATGCGTCTTGACCCCCCCCCCCCCACCACCCCCAATTCTCAGAATCATCAATCTTTATTTATTGCTGGAGGAATTCGATGAGACGTAATCTTTTTTCACAGATGTCCAGTAAGAGGGGGGGGGCGTGTTGGTCAGAAAGTTACAACGAACGATTACGAAAGCACGCCAGGAGTGAAAATTTAAGCTTAAACTAATTTTATTTTTAGCCTCATTCGCATCAGTTTTGCATTCAAGTCCCATTACCCCGGATGAGGGACTTTTGATCGGCAGCTGTCACCTCGATCGGTACTCTTTGCCAGCCGCGTTATGGGACCGTTTGCTGCGTTCTACTTATCCGCAAATGTTTAAAAAAATCCTGGCAGACGTTGGGGACGTTACCCAATGAAATAAAACGTGTATTTTGTTTTTACGCAATCGTGCGTGTCGACAAAGATCCCCCGTATAGCCTTGACAGACTGTAGGGGCAAGTGCTGTTAGCAAGCACCTATGAAGGCTGGAACGGTACACGAGGGGGTGGGTGGGCCAGCACCACGCCCGACCGCCTTTGTCTCCCCAGTGGCGATGTTTACACACCAGGTACTCATTTGAGGCCCAGGACCGGTTCAGATAATCGTTACTGGTGTTGGCCGTGAGCGGGAATCGAACCCGGATCGCCGGGTTCATAGCGCAGCGCGCTAACTGCTACACTATCGTAGCTCTAACAGTGTGTCCAACCTCCCCCACCCCGTCTCTCTCTCAAGGGGAACCTTGGGCAGTCACTCAGGCATGTGTACAACAACGAGAGACGATGACTTTAGCCCCCATCCTCATTCCCATTGGGGGGGGGGGGGGGGGTGGGGATGCTGGGATATGAATGTGAATTGCACACCACATTATTGTTTTGCACCACCCCCAATCTAGAGCAGGGGAATACCGGATGAAAAAAAATGTGCCAAAAAAAATCGACGAGCAACTTGAGAAGCACGACTCTCACCACGGTGATTGTTCATCTCGGCAGCCACCCAGAGCTCAAACGCAGGTCCTTTACATCGTGCCCCGACGCTGGGAGTGGCGTTCATCCGCGTTCCTGCAGCTGCCAGCGAGCTTAAGGTGCCGTGCCGTTCCATCAAATCGAGTTCGGTTTTTTTTAGGGCCGCTGGTCACGATTGGGCAAAAAAAAACTTGAGCCCACTTTTTCACTCCAGGCAACTGGAGCGCAAGAGCTATGAGTAATGAGTGCATCAGTATCTCACGCCGTTATTATTATTATCACAGCACAAGTCGAACATGCAGGCGAAGTGCATCAAAGGACGGTATCACCTGCAGCAGTGTTACAGGAGGGGGAGGGGTTGGAGTAGCGGTAAGATGCACAGCTGGCCGTCTTTTTAGAATAAAATAGTTTTTTTTACAAATGTTTACTGCAAAGCGAATGGCGTACAGTATTTTTATATGCATGTACCGTAACTTCTTTTACACCATACACAGCCAACCACGTTCATCGGAGGTGTGGGGATAATACATTTAAACACAATAAGCAGTTGTAAAGAAATGCGTTTTCCAGTGGCTTCCTAAAAATCGAACAAAGAGCGTTCCAGACGGCCGCAGAAGCACATCTGAAAATGCGCGATGTGCAGTGACCGTCGTCTTTGTTCGATGGACACCAGCCAAAAGCCGCTGCGAGGATGATCGGAGTTCACGCGACGGTTTCCCCTCCTTGGTGTTCGCCTTCAGTACTCACCAGCGTGGCCACCTGGCTTCAATCACAACCCGCCACGACTCGCATTGGTCCGAGCCAACACCACCGGTGGCTTCTGGTTCTCTGTAGCAATCTCTACTGCCCCCAAAAAACACAACCAATCAACACGCATATTTGCACTGCGGCTTCCTGTTCGCGCAACCAAAATACCAGCACGGAAACAGCGAGACAGGGCTTCAGTGCAGCAGCAGCGGCGTGGGGCTTGAGGGCAACACTTGTGGCAGGAAGGGAACGAGATTATTATTCATTTGGTCAATCCACCAAGCTACGCGAGGTCTGTCTTTGTCAGAAGCGACCAGGCGATTACAAATGATAGCTCAACGAATTGGCTTAACACCGTGTGGAAATTTACAGCAGCTAAATACTCTAAAAAGGCAGGTTTCTAAATGCGGAGGGAAAACCCGGAAAATTCCACACGACCACGGAGAAAACGCAGACTCCAAATATACAGCAGGCGTCAGGGTCAATCCCACGCCCCCTGCATGCCAGGCAAGGGAGTTAACATCGCACCACTGCTGCGAGTGGGTAGGTGTCGAGTAAACCAGCTGCTACTGGTTGGCAACTAGGGCCAGCTTTGGCCGGGTTGGTGGAATCCTACTACAAATTGCCGGGTACCCAGAGCACAGAGTCGCAATTGAGTGGTAGTGTACAGGGACTCCAGGAGGCAAGCACGAGGCGTCACCAGCTCATGGTGTCGAGGGTTCCAGCGGCGAGTGGTGGCGGTCCACTCGCCTTGGCACGCAAAACAAAGAGTAACGAAGGCTTATGGGAGGCCCAAATGACTTTAAGAAGTAGGTTTAGATTCATCCTGTGAACAGTTATCGTTTTAGACATGCGGGTCAACTGGAGTGCCCAGAAAAACCATAGAAAGGGAAATGGCAGAACCATCAACGCGTGCTTCCAAAGTCCTGCGATTGCGAACTTCTTTTGCACCGTACGTAGCCAACCGTGCTACTCTCAGGTGCGGATTGCAGGCACGAAGCCAACAGGCAGCTGGTCTTCCCCAGGGCCACGTGCCACCACAAAGGAAAGACAGGCAGAAGGTGGAGGTGGATTCAAAGTCTGAGACTTTAGGATAGGAGGCAATGTTGGTGGGGGGGGGGGCTCCGAGGCATAGCAAAACGCGACTCGTGAAAGTTGGGCCATCAGAGACCCAACTCGAGCCAAGCCGCGTGGATTGTGAAACTGAGGCGGGTGGGAGGGAAGCGTGGGGGGAGGGGGGAGACCACGTGATGATGAAACGCAAGGATGGAGCAATGAAATTAGTGTGGGGGGGGGTAGCAGTGTCTGTGGTGAAGGCCCGATGAAAACCCTGGCTCAGACATCAGTTTGGAGCACGCCAAGTTGTCGGTAGGGCCCCACGCTGGGCTCATGGACCGGTGGCGGAGGCGTTACAGGCGGCAGGCAACGTGGCATCAGAGCCAAGCCAGGGTCACACAGGTCTGCCCGACTGCTCTTACAATCGGGAAGTGGACCTTGTTATTGTTAGTTGCGGCAGTTACAGGGATTAAAAAAAAATAAAAGTTCGGCTTTCACTTCTTTCGCACCGTACGTAGACACGTTTAAAACGGGGGGGGGGGGTGAACACAAACGCTTATGAGAGGCTTGGGGTAACCAATGCAAAACTGGGTGTGGATTTAGTTTCAGAAAAGGTAGCCGAAGTTTAATTTGGATCTGACTTCTACCACCACGGAGTCGACTGAAATGACACCAGGTACCACATTAAACACCAGGCGGCATGAAAAACAAAATAGCGCTTTATTTTATACCAACGGCTTCAACAGTTCAGAAATCACCGCCGTTAAATTCCCCACAAAACGTTGTTTTACACAGGATCAAGCACAAGATTAAACTAACCGAGACCGTAAATACAACAAAATTACAAAGACCCAAAGACCCGAGGTCATAATTGGCAAAATACAACTTGTGGGTAATGACGCAGGCGGACACTACCGGAAACCTTTACAGGTGGCAGCTTTGTAGTTCTGCACAGCATGAAAGTCAAAGCTCTTTAAAAAAGACACGCACTGCGATGCACGGCTGGGAAACTTTGTAAACCCCTCCCAACATCGTCAAGTTCACGGCGAATTATTACGGACAATGAAAGAAGGCGTCTTCTGTGGGGGGGCTAAGGAGGGTTGCACATGTCATAACCAAGTACCCAACATGCACAAAGAGGTGGGTTTGAACCAAATAGTTTTTTGCACCCGAGGAATTTAAACGGTTTCGACATTTTTCAGAACGGAGGCAGCAAGACGGAACAGAAGATGGGCGAGGGATAAAATCAGCTGAACGCCACGTGTGCAACACCGTGATGGAGAGGGGGGTGCACTGCACGAAATATTTCAGGGATGGACGAAAAACTGAGTAGGGGGGTATTTAAAAATAGCATCGTCATTACCAGAAACGGGACAATAAGAGATGATTCGATGCTGATGGGGGGGTGGGGGGAGGTCACTTGTCATCAGTCTCGGGTTCCGGCTCGCTGCCTGGAACTGAAAAAACGCAAACAAAAATAAAGTCTCCGTTTAACATTTCAACATCGACGCAGCAGGGAGTCAAGACGCTGTGCGTCTCACCGCACCCCCCCCCCCCCCCCACGAGACGCGGGGCAGCACGGAAAAACAATTAGCCATCGACATGACAAGCGAGAGATTACTCGTAAAAGATGCGCCAGCAAGTAAACTTTACTTAAAACTCGCTCCAGTTTGTAACTGAAATTAAATACATTTTAGAAGATGCAGGGCCAATTTGTTTCAAAAACACGGGAGGCATTCAGGGAAGACGGTAATCTCCAACTTGACCCACATCAATGTAATATGGTTCCAAGTGTGATAAAGTGATGCCTTGCATCAAAACGTCATGGTTTTGACAATTTGTCAGAATAATGCTGGGCAACTGTTGGAATCGAACTCACAACCTATATTACGGCTAAGGCCAGTCAGTCGGCCACACGTATGCATTAACAATGAAACTCGTTCAGTGTATATCCAGCCAGGGACCACACGATTCAATCAGGCCAACCTATTGAAATGTATTCTTGCAGTTTATTTATACGTTGAATGGTGGTGGTGTTGAAGTTTCGGCCAAGATGCAATGTACAATCAGTAGGATCCTTGTCGAGTCCATCCAGCATGGGGTTAAATCGCACGTGGTCACCCCACGGAACCAAAACCAGGTGGGCAGGATAGTTCAGTAGTCCTTTCAGCAAAAAGTTGTTATTTTAACCAAATCTTATTACAAGTTGCGCAAGGTGGGCGTTATCCACGCCATCCCCACCATCACAAGGATGTTGGTCGAATTCAGCAACAGACCTACACACAAGAGTCGACCATTTAACCATTGGGATGGCGGGAGGCAAAAACAACATTGGATCAAATGACACTAGAAAAAAATTAATCATGCGCAGCAGGGAAGCGAACGTGCAATTCTGGATCTGTGCCGTTCTGGCAATGCCACCACTACCGGGGAGGTCCTTGGCTCACGACTGGAAGTTGGGGAAGGCGAGTAAAGGGTGCCCCCTGACCAGATCACCCAGAACACAATTGCACCAGAGCCTATCAATCAGAGAAGCCAAACTGGGTTTGAGCCAGGATAGTGTTTGGGGATTGCCAACCACTCGTGCATTGTAACGTAGTGCTGTTCTAGGCTCCACCTTCACACCCCCCCTCCCACCCCACAGACCAGCGTGGTGAAGTATGGCCAAATAAACCCTGGGATCTGCATGGCTTGTGGGGGGGGGGGCTCATTCAGCAGTGGAAGGTGGCTATTGCATGCCCACAAAGGGAAGGAAAGTTACGAACCTGCCATTGCGTCCATGAACTCCGTCTTGTCGTCATGCAGCGTCTCGCAGTCGCTCAGCGCCTCGGTGTCCACGAACTCGTCACTGTCCAGAGTCTCCGACGTGCTCACCTGGGGAGGGCCGACGAGTCACATGGGGTTCCTCCTCACGACAAGGGCAGCAGTGTGCTCCTGCCAACCCCCCTCTCGATTAATCACGGGTGGCCGTGCCAAAAGAAGTTCGTAGCATTTTAATGTACCCGATTCCACATGGGTTTCCTGACAACTCCCGTTAGCTAACAAACTTATTGTAAACGGCAACTGGTATTGGGGCTAAATATTTGCGAGGCTGAAAAATTACAAGTTATTCAATTGGCATTAGACACAGCAACGTTGCCCCCTGCTGAAAAAACGTGGCAAGACCCCTCTAGAAAAAATAATGTGTCGACTCAGGAGGCGGCGAGGCTTTCCTGGGAGGGGAAGTGGGTTAAGGTGGCATCGTAATAAAAAAACCCAAAACAAAAATTTGAAAGTACCACGTAGCTTGGGTCATCAAAGCTGTTTTCATCGGGGATGTCGTCCCCCATGAGGGCGCTCAGGTTGGCTTTTCGAAGCTCCTTCTCGTCGTCCTCATCCTCGGAGCTGGTGTTCTGCACGATCGTAGAGCCCTGAGACTCGTTCAGATCCAGGCTCGCCGGCGCAGCCCTCTCGGCAATGGCTTGGGACGCCCGTCCCTGCAGTGGTGCGTAGGGGTTAACAAAGTCGGCGCGCGCAGCGATGCCAAGCAGTTGGAGCGCACGAATGCGTCAACGCAATGGATTTTATAGTTTGTCCGAGCTATTGCCATCGACGAAACATTAGGTCACGCCTGCAACGCTGGGTGGAATCTATTGGTGCACCCATGGACGCGAAAATTTTAAAGCAGAATTGGAAGCCTTCCTTAGATTTCCATGGACTTGGGATGAGGCCCAAATCAAAGCCGCCAGGGTCACAAACGATTAAATGGCATTTCGGTCAACTCACCCATCAATCGTCCTTCTGACGTCGGGCAACGTTTTCAATCAAATGGGGTATTTGCATCAGCAGGTGCACCAGACGTCCATGCCTTTAAATCAGACAGTCCTTTGACAAAACGATGCGAGGGTGGCAGTGGAAACACCATCATGCCTCACTACAATGGCCTGGGTTCAATTTCAAATTCTGGGCACCTGTGAGCAGTTTTGGATATTTTTTTGCCTCTTGTTCTACATGGCTTTCTTTCGGGTTCCGATTGCCTCAACTAAAATAGTGTTATGGGCCCAACACTGAAACAAAAATACCTGAAAGTTACCGAACTACGATCAATTAACATCACCAACTGAAAATATGCCAAATAATCTTAAGATATTCCCATGTAAAAAACTGAAGCAAAAGTATTAAAGTTCAGAGAGTACACAGACGACCCAATGGAACGCATGGGCCTTTGCGGTCTGCGATTCCTACTGGAGTGCCAGGTCACACGTCAAACAGCAGTGCAACTTGGCAGGAACAAATACCCAAGAACGTCCCAGATTTCACACCTGATATTGCTTGTGTTGCAGTCGAAACGTGAGAATTTTATTGTTTTATATTTTCATTATTTTATCATTTCCCTTCTACGTGTCTTTACCGAAAGAACCAAGAATATGAATCCCTGCAGTCAAGAAAGCTTTAAAATCAACAAGTGCATTTTCGTCAATATCATTGCCAGACGGCAGAACCGACGAATTGCCAAAATGTGGACCTGCAATCCTGCACCGTGGAGACAGCAAGGATTGTGGCTGGCATAAAGTTGCGACACTTCCCTTCCGGTGCGAGTCGAGGGGTGGGGGGTCCCATACCCTGGGCTCGCCAGGCGGCAGTAAAACGCAAGCTGACTTAAAATCGCCGTCGGTTTCCCCTCCTGCACGGGGGAATGGACCAGCGCGCGGTGGACACTGACGGCAATACCCAAGACTCCAGGAGGCGCGGCGAAGTGGGGGTACTCGCTCCGTACCAACGATCGTCAGCCGAAAGCCACCAGGGGAGGCAGCCTCAATCCCCAAAAGCTACAAACCACAAAAGCTACAAACCCAGCTTCCTCTTACCACAGAAGGGAGGAGATCTTCATCTGAGAAGCCGCTCGCGCCCGAGAGGTCGCCCTCCTCTCCTCCACTGGCGTCACTCTCGTCCTCGTCGATCGGGAGCAGCTCGGATTGCTTGCGCTTGCTCCCTTTCCCGTCCTGCTTGTTGGGCGACTTGCCCAAGTCTGCAGATCGCGCAGACACCACGGGGGGGGGGGGGGGGGGTAAGGGGTGAGGGGGCGGAGAAGCGAAGCACGCAGCACAGCGGTCGCAATCAAGAGACGGCGATAAAATTGGGGAGGTGCGGGGGAAGGACAAACTATGAAAAAATGGAGGCAGTTCTGCATTTAGGTTTGTCCTTCCCCCACATCGAAGTGACGTGACCCTCCCAGGACTTACAAACTGCGCTAAACTTGGCTACAAGAGTCTCCACAGATCGGCTCAGTCCCTACTTGCCGAGCGGGGCTGGCCCCCACGGACCCCGTCTACGAGCCGCAGCCCACAGAGATTCTGCCGCGGCTTCCGTTAACTGAACTCAAAATCTTGTGCAGCAGGGCCCAAAAGCCTGGACTGTGGTCTCCCCCTGTGCTGCACGGGTTGCCTCAGGAGTTCCCCATTTCTTCCCATAGTTCAAATCCCCTAACGTGACTGGTATTGGCCCCAAAAACATTGCCGAAACATGGGCTGCAAAGGAACCGATTGGAAGAACACTTCGCAATCGCACAACTACCTGTAAAAGAAAAAACGTGGCAGGATCCCACCGAAAACAATTAAGTCACCCGAGGCTCGTTCCTGGGTAGAACGGATCATAAAAGAAGAGTTCCGAGACTGTGGTAGCTCTTCTGGCTAAAGCAAGTCACAAGGGCGCCACGGTGGTGAGATGTTAACTAGCCTCGCCTGGCGTACAGGAGGTCGTGGGTTCAATCCCGACGAAGCCCGTTGTGTTTTTTGGAGTTTACGCGTCTCCGTGGTCGTGTGGCTCCGTCGGGTTCCTCCGGTTCCACCGGTCCCCCCCCCCACCACCACATTTACAATCAACACGCATAGAGTGTATTTGGCTTCAATAAATGTCCACAAGCCACACTTGGTTGAGCTATCTTGTGGCCAGGTCGCTTCTCAAAAGCAACTAATAAAAGCTCGGTGGGTCCATACCCTGGTAGGGCATTTTTAAAAGTTCAAGTTAGTTTTAAGTACAAAGCAAAACAGACGTCACTCGCCTAGGCTGTAGAGCAGCGGCGTGCCGAACGAGGCCACGCTGGGTATCCCGACGACCGAGCGCACGAAGCCCTCCGGCAGCACGCGGCTCAGAATCCGCTCGACGTTGGAGAGGCGCTTGCGGCCCTCGAGGTAGCGACGCGCCGCGGGGCTCGGCCGCCTGCAGGGAGCGGCGGGGACCACGTCGAAGGCCACCAGGTCCATGAACCAGAGCAGCAGGCCGCAGACCTGCTCCAGGAGGGCACCCTGTGCCACAACATCGAACGCTCGTTGTGGTCGGTTAGAAACCTCCGCGTGGTACCTGGGTTGTGGTGTACCCCTCGCCCACGACTGGAATGAGAAATTCTGGGCCACGTCTGCGACTCGCGACGGTCGTGAAGGCGTCTGGGTGGCCGTCGAACGGACGACTTGGCCACCGCGTCGTGCGCTTTCAGATGCGCGCGTGGCCGTCTGGAAGTCGTCCTTCAGATATTAGGAAGCCACTGGAGCTATGCGCTGCTAAATCGCAGATTGATAACTTATTTCTTTAGAACTTATTTTTACGCCAAGTTTGCCGTCCTTCGGCCCGAACCTCAAGTTAGTACGATTTGCTACACACGGTGCGAAAGAAGTTCAACAATACATGGTTGATATTTTCAAGGCAGGCGAACGAATTTCATTTCTGTTGCTTCAACCACACAGCGCTGAACATCGTCTAACGGAGTGCGGTCCAGGACAGCAATGGCCTGCTTGCTGCTACACGCTCCAAGCGCACGGTCATGCGGCTCACAAGAACGAGGCGCCAAGTGGCAGAGATAATTTTGGTACAAATATCTTCCAGACCCTCGTCCAGCGATATTATTCGGTGCCTGGAAGCGAACCTCTCCAGGTTATAAAAGCCACGGGAGGAAGAACCCCAAGACGTGTAGCTGGTGGCAAGTGCTACACACAACTCTGGCCACACCGACCAACATTGGTCACATCCAGCATTTCTGCTTTAAAAAAAATTTACACAAGGGGAGAGGGTGATTGAGCAAGCCAGCAATATACGGATGCATATGCCCTCTAGGATTAGGGAGACGGCAGTGATCTTGTGCAGCTAGTGCAGGGGTCGGCAAAAAAAAAACTCGTCCAATTTGGTAAAAAACTACTATTTGGAGAGCCATAATGCATGGGAATAAGAGACAGGACCCTAAACCACATTTTGTAATCGACATTTACGACCAGCGCACGCAAAAAGATTCGTAACGCCGCATTATAAATCATTGTCGGGCTTTTTAGACGCTTACAGGTTATCGAAAACAAATGCAAATCCACTTTGCAATTGTCGTGTCGGGAGCCAGGAAGCGGTCCTTAGAGCCGCAGCTTGCCGACCCGAGCGCGTGAATATTGCTTCACAAGCCTCGGCAGAGAACAAGCCCGACACCCCCCCCCCCCCACCCCGTGGGCAAAGCGGTGGTGGCGAGGGAAATGCTCTCACCAGCCATCGGAAGGGCCACACTGAGAACAGCAGCTCCACCGTAGCCCTCAAGAGTCCTCCTCGCCGGGACACCGTTTGCTGCGGGGGAAGCACGAGACCAGGTGGGGGGGGGGGGGTCACTCGATGGGACCCGCAGCACCACCCGCACCACGCGAGAGAGAAACCGCCATTTGGGACTTCTCCCACAGAATGCTCACCAGGATAGGAGCGGGGACAAAGGGGCTGGCGTCGCAACTAAAACCGGCGTCTTATGCGGGGGGGGGGGGGGGGCAACGGACATCGCAGACGCCCTGGGCGAGCCACGAATGCACGTTAAAAAGAGAGCAGGCATAAAATAGAGTTTGCCTTTCTTTGCACTCTAAAGTATAAAATAAAATAGTTTGACCCCAAAATTAAATTACGTTTGAGGGGCTGAATAAAAGTGGGTGGCTTGCATAAAATGAAATTCAAAGCATCGAAATTAAAGTAAAAGAGCCCAAGATCGGTGGAACCTGCCACAGGTTTCAAAAAGAAATTTGAATCGTCACACGAGACGGCGTATAAATAGCCGAAGATAATACGCGTCAAATATTTGAAATATAAAAACACGGGAAGGTTCAATAAAGGTATAAGAACCCGTTTAAAAAAACGAGACACGCGAGAGTCCACCTGTACGCAACTGGTAAGGTCCAACAACTTCGAGTCCCACGAAACTAGAGGCTCATTTACGATGCCCGTGCAGCATCCACCTCACCACCAGAGCTCCTAACCCGTGCCCGGTGCCAAACTTGCGCGCATCTGGAGTGTCGCGCCCGCGCCCCGCCAGACATCGCAAGCCAAGCCAGGTAGAGCCTGGACAATGCTTGGCATGGCTGGGCGACCGCCAGCCAAGCCACGCGCAGGGCTGGTCACCGGGTGACCTTGATGGGCATCAAGTAGGGCCCAGCGCAATACAGCGGTGGACTGCAATCGCGTTTCCAGCCTTCAAACCGCAACCGACGCAGCGTGGTGGTGAAGTATGGTCAATGCCACCCAACCAACTCCCCCCCCCCCCCCCCATCCACGACCCGTACGTGTGGAGAGGGCTTCAGCCAGCAGTGGACCGACAAGAGCCGTGCTATGCACGTGATGTACACGCGCGCGCTGCGCATTTAGTTCGTGGTCCTTCCCCCCGCACCTCCGACCACGGCCGGGCTACGTGCGGTGCAAAAATGAAGTTCAAGGTCCGTCCGACCCGGCAGGACCCCACCGCGTGAACGCACCCGGGCAGAACACGCCACGTGAACGCGACCGAGGAACAGGACCCGCCATCGTGCAGGACCCCACCGCGTGAACGCGCGGTGCGATAGGAGAGAGAAAGAGAGAGACAACCACAGCAGCAGTTTCCACCACCACCACCACGACCCACTGTGCTCTTGTGGCTGGCTCCCGGCGACGTTTGGGTCATCCTCGACTGCTCCTCCATAGCTCTGCGATTGGAACCAGAAGACGGTGGTGAGAAAAAAAACAGCTACCAGCCACACCAAACAAACACAGCCACGGGCCTCTCGATCCACAAACGACTCGCCAGCTACTAGCAAAAAGTTGCCCACCACCCGACTTTAATGGGCTCCGTTGAGGTGGGGGTGGCGGGGGGGGCTGGGATGAGAGCCCAATTAAGGGGCTGATGAGCTGCAGCTGCAGCAGCTGCGGAACTCCGCCGCCGTGCATGCGCGGAGGAGCTTCCTCCAGATGCGAGAACAATGAGACGATGATGCTGAGCGGAACAACGAAATGATGATGATGAGCAGAACAATGAGATGATGATGATGAGTGGGACAATGAGATGATGATAAGCGGGGACCCATTGCGAAGCGCGTGAACGTACTGATTCAGATTTGATTTGTTTGCTTGTTTGTTATAAGGCGTAAGCGAAACATGTGGATACACAAAAGTAACACAAAGAGACAACTTATATAAGTGACAACACGTACTCGATGCAAATACGACACACGCTTCGCTTGCCCCTGGTGTCTGTGTTTTGTGACTTGTTCACGTACAGTATTACACCAACTTTTTCCGTGCTCTCTTTGGCACGCTCCGTTTTTTTTCTGGCAAATTTCGGTGGGGGGGGGGGGGTTCTCCTTCTTCTGAATGGTCCCGCGAATTGCGGCGCACTGAGTGCGTTCAAGAGGCGGGCAGAGAAAGCGCTTCAAGGATGTCCTCAAGGCCAAACACGAAGGAATGCTCCATCGACAACTCGGATGGAGACACACAAGAGAGTCGATTTCAAGGTTCCAAACATTTTGAAACTCGACAGCAACAAACAGGCACGACGCCGCAGCCCGACTTAGGAATGCAGTTCCACTAAACCACCCTCTTTCTGGACGCGTGTGTGTTCGAGCTGCTAAATTTCGTTGATTGCAGATGCGGTCTCTTAAGCCATCTTCGGACCCACAGATAATCCAACTGTCCTAAGGAAGAAAATCATCATCCTCGATTGCGAAGGATAGACTATGATGATGATGACTTTCAGGAACGTCTTATAACACTGGTCAACACACTTTTGTCTGGCATAAGATATTCCAATGGGTCTAAGGTAATTTTGGGGTGCTGATTCCAAATCTGGCATCAGTTTTTGTCTATCACATTAGGTTTTTGAGATATCAAATATTGCATTTTCAATAAAAACTGCAGAAGAAAAATATTAAATAAATGTGGATATCTACATAAAATGATATTATAAACACGCTATCCTAAAAATACAGCACCATATTTTAACACTAAAGCAGTCACTGACTCGCAACAACTTGCAATCATAAGTGACAGAGTTAATTTCGGGTAAAATCAATGAAAATGGGGTATGCCGATAGCATAAAAATGAGATGTGATAGAGCAAATCTGAGATCAGATTTGGAATCGGCACCCTGAAATGAGTCTAAAACAGCTGCAAAAGTCCAGGCCAAAAAAAAAGTTGTTTTTGTTGACCAGTGTAATTCTGATAATTCAGAGCTACCGTGAGCATTCTCAAGTAGTGTCGATGGCAAAGCGCGAACACTCTAACGCGTCTGATAAAGTAGAGTTAATGTAACAGCTGAGCAAAATATTAATGTAGATGCAGTGCCGAGAAATGTAAATTCACGAAGAACTACTCACGGCGTGCGGTTTTTTTAACGACAAACCGCCAAATCAACTGCACGAGTTAGATTCCCACGTGATGTTAAATAAGCCACTTCCGTTGGGCTATCATTTGTGGCCAGGTCAGTTCTGAAAAAATAGCTAATAGCTCAGTGGGCTGTAGCTGGTAAAACAAAACTAAATTGTTAAAATAGTAAATGGATTCATGCTTCCATTACACGTTGACATTAATCGCTATTCATGTGATTAATGCACTTCCAGTAAGCATGGTTGGACACGTACGGTGCGAAAGAAGTTCAACAGACAATGCAGTCCATTGGATTGTGTAACGAGGGACATTGAGGCTTATAGCAGGTAAAAGCCCAATAATAATATGATAATTTAAATCAAAGTAAAAAAAAGTCAATCGTTCCTTGCTTAAATAAGCATTGATGCTCACCTCCTGTTTACAACGCTGCGGAGCCAGTGGTGGGAAATTCCACATTCATATGGCGGGGTCGAGTCCATCTATAGCACAACCACTGTTGGCTTCCCCACAAAGTGGTACCCCCAATCTTACATCGACCAAAGATGGGTTGGGTCAATGCCCCCAACCGGCATTTGAATTCGCAACCTTCCAACTGCGAGCCACCCTGCTGCTTCTGTTCCTCGTGAACAAATTATTGAGTGAACGAATTCGCACGTGGATGCGTGGTCGTTCGCCGAAGGCAAGTCAGGAACTGCACCGCGGGCCTCGTTGTACCAGTCAATCCCCCAACTTGTGAGCCTCCAAGTATCGGCCGGCCACACACCAACACACGTTAATTAGCCATCGTGGACCACGATGGCGGTACAGCATTGCACCGGGACAGTGGCACCAATGTAGTGGTGCCACTGTCAAGGGCCCCGCGCTAAATGCTTTCAAGCTATCAATTCCGGTTTAGCGATTCTGCACTTGCTCTATTAGTATAGTACTATACCGCCTTCAACTTTTATGAACGACTGGGTGTTTAATGTTAGCGATTTGTCGTATTATTTGGCTGTATAGCAGATGAAAAAATACAATTACTTTACTATGTAAGTAAAAAAAAGTTTTTTTATATTTACGTGTTTTTTATTTATTTAGCGCCCCTTTATAACTTATGCTACAGGCCCCGCACTAGCTTAATACGATGGTAATCTGCGGATTCCTGATTAGAAGTTTTCGTGACTGCAAGGATCCATACTTTTTGTGTTTTTCGGTAAAGTCACCTCGGCACACTCAAGCGGTTGTTCTTTCGCTGTTTGTCCCCACCTGAAGACGGACGCTTGTGTTGCGCCCGAAACGTCGTGATTTAATTAACTTTTTTCATTTTAATTTATTTTATTTTTTACCTACGTGACTTTACCAATCTGGGGATTACCTACACACGTGTGCTCCGTACAATTCACGTCGAGGATTTTGACCACCGGACCTGAGAGACGGGTGCAGAGCCCAGCATGGGCCTCTGCGGAGATCAACTGAGGCCGAATGTTCAGTGTCGCGGCTATGGGACTGCAACATTCTCAGAATGCTACAAAAAATTATGGAAAGCGTGCCTTATTATCGCCAACTGTGTAACGATTAGATAACACACTGTAATGTTTATACTGGTAGGAACGAAGTGGACCAGACCACCAATAGATTAATGTGTCCGTCCGTCCGTCCGTCCGTGGGAGGGGTGGTGTTGAGGGTGGTGTTGGAAATGAAAGACTACGAGTCTTTAAATCTCACAGCGTTTCTTGTCAAAACAAATACTTTTAATTAACGTTACACTAGAATACAGTAATTTTTTCTTTAACTCCTCTATACCTGGTCGATATCTCTGTACCGGTACTAAGTATTATTCCTACCAGCCCACCCCGCAGGGTCCTGTTATGAAAAAAAAAACGATTTGCTCCATTTCCCAGTGGTTATATCTTGCTACCATATTCTGATTGTTCTTCCTTATCAATGCGAGACAATTTTGCCAATTAAGAAAAGGTGCGGCCCGCTAACTTAATTATAAATGGCACGTACTCACTGTCACTCACCAGTGGGAGCAAACCACATAGCTCAGCCTCCATTGGCAGAAATTCGCTGAATGTCAGGCCGTGTGCCTTGTGGTTGTCAAATCCTGGACTTATTTTGACGTCAGAGAAAGTGCTTCACCTAAGCATCCTCCTGCATGCCCTCTCCTTTGCTGCAAATCCAGTTTGCCCCCCATCCCTCCACCTAAATTGTAAATTGATGGCTATGCCCGTGGTTCAAGGTGTTTGTAAAAAGCGGGCAGCACATGTGATGCATCTGCTACTTATCTCAGTCAACCCATAACGCCTAGGCAGGGCCGGATTAAGGTTCTTGGAGTGCCTAGGCATGTTTCGTAGGCCTTTTGTGATACATTTTTACAGTTGAAAAAAATCTCTAAAAGTTAATTTCTCTCACCTTATGAACAAAAGATTGAAATTGACACCACTCTGCCTCTTTATACATATACTGTGCCTATCCTTGCTATATAAATATATTTATTCAAGAAGAGATCTTGGTGACTTTGTTCTTCATAAACAAAAACATGGCCATTTTTTCTTAGGCCCCAGGCAGTGGCAGCTGCGAGCCTTCGACACTCCACGTGGCTCCAAACTGCGCCCAGCATGGCACAATCCTCGTGACGTTACCATTTTGTGACGAGCGACGGCGATTATGAAACCCAGTTCATGTGTGGACAGTTCACTTCTTTCGCTCAATGGATTGGTGCGAACGTTCTCAAAATGTAATGCATTAGCCACCAGTTTGTATATACCATCGACACATACAGAAACGTTTCATCAAGTTTATTTAAAAGCATTAATTGTGTAGTGGTTCAGTGTGGTGTGACGAGTGAGTTGTAATTTACATCACTCACAGCATGCATGAAGGCAAATAGTGAACACCTATGAGATTTGATGAAACGTATATAACAAAATGACAAACCCCAAAAGGAGCTAGGGGAATCCGCTCTTCCTTAGCCAGTCCAGCCAACTTGACTGTCGCAATTCCCATGATTTGCCGATGGTCAGTGTGTATCGTGCCGAGTTGGGCTGTACTGAATTAGCTGTGGGGTGTTGTGAAGATATGCCAAGGTGGTGTGTAGCCTAGAAGGCAATCTGTGAGAAATACAGGATGCAAAATCCAGCTACCAGTTGAGTAGCATTTCCACGGCTTGGCAAAACAGAGAATCGATTGCAAAAGGTTAAGTTTCGTGATAACAATGTTATTTTTTAAATTGAATATTGGATTGTGTATTCAATAAGTATGTTTTAAAGTATAATGCACGCAGAAGTTGCAACAGTACCACCACCCACTCCTGACAAAGGAAGTTTATAATGAAACACTCAATCACAGTAAAAATATTTTTTACTTTTATTGAAACAAAGGCATTACACACTAAATATAAACCAGATCTGTTTGCAACTAGTAAAATTTTATTTTCTATTACAATTGCACAGTTCTTTTAAATTTACCGCAAAAAGGAAGGGGGTAGAGTACAAGGGAGGAAAGTCTTGCAGTTTCTTTCCCAGAGTGTAGAGGAATGTCATTTCAAAAAATAGATGCGGCAGACCTCCGCCGTCATAAACCAGAGAAAGTGATTGTCGCAAGTCGAGAAAACTGAGGAACACCCAAGACAAAGACAGCTTTGGTGTTTGGGGGGTGAAGCACTGTTGTTGGGGGGTGGAGGTGTTCAGCGGCGGTACGGGTGGAATGGGTGGCTTTGGCCTCGTCCGTAGCCACCGGCTACCAGGCCTTGTGCCTGCTGGTTGGGATCAGAAAAGCCCTGTGCCTGACTGTAATTGCTTGGCTCCTGTCCGTAACCTAGACGGCAACCATTCACACGCGCGCACACACAAAAAAAGACAGGTTAGGCAATTAAGGGGTTGTGGAAATATAGAAAGCGCACAAGGGTAAGGGCTACGTTTAACACGCGTAAATGTAGGACGGCACGGGAAACAGCTTCACGAGGTGAAGCCGAAAACACCTGCCGGTCACTTTTTTATGCCACCAAAGTGAACACAGGCCTGATACAAATCATCCTGTTGCCTAGTGGTGGGAGGGGAAGGGTAGTTTTTTATTTTAATGTTCCCAAAACAAAAAAGCAGGAACATTTTAAACATCTTGTGCATAAACTACTATTTGGTGATTTAAGCAATAGTAGTTGATCCGATGTTCGATTAATCTTAAATTATAATCTTGAGATGAAGATTTATTGCCATGGAAATGTTGCGCAACCAATGGAATTTCATTTCAAAAGGCAGGAGAGTGCTTCAGAAAGGTCGGGAAAAGCACAGCAAGTGTTGAAACAACACAAAGCATGGGCAGGCATCAAACAGCAGCCCACTTTACTCTTTATCGTGAACCATAATCAGGGAAAAAAGTTATTGGAAAGCCACACACTATGAAGCAAGCTCAAAGGAATGAGTTTAAACAAAAGATTAAAAACTAAGGTGTAGCCAGGGTAAGCCATTTGTATAAAACAGGGGCACATTTTACAAGAATTTTACCTGTGGGTCCAAAACTCTGCTCGTTTTGGCTGTAGGCTTGGGTGGGACGCGTGGGACCGTATCCTGATGGGTCCTGTGGATAGTTACCCATACCTGGCCAAACACACAGCATGTACCACCAAAATCACTTCACAATTCCAATGCTTTCTCAAAAAGGTGTGCGCACGTGTATATTTGAACCTCTTTTGCACCGGACATAGCCAACCGTGCTTCCCAATTCAGCACTATAGGCAAGCAGATTATCATCATGTGCAAGACATCCAACCTGCATCACTGCACAGCGACCATTAAATGGAAAGTACAGAAAATAGGTTTCCGTCCTGTGTGCACCAAATGTACTCCATTCTCATGGACTTTTTGCTTTGTGTGCATCTGTCAGACACAAGTTGTCCATTGTACACAACGCATGATTTAATATTTAAGCAAGTTTCTACAATACAATACTAGCTTCAAGACATACGACTTGTGTAAAAATGAAATGTACTCTTGTGGCTGCTTTGTATGTGGGTGCTTCACAACCCAAACACCATTAAAGCCCAAGAATATAATATGTGCCCTGTTTGACGCCTCATTTATTAACAAGTAAATAAATGGGTAACACAAGGGCGGAGCACAACAAAATTGTTGCACATAGGATTAAATATTTCCCTCCCCACCTTCGAAGAAATACGCTGAATATAGTTCACTACTGCAGCGGAATGTATCAACCGCACATTAATACTTTGGAAATGTAAATTCGCAACAGCACATCCTGGCACGTGGGTGAAACACCAAATTGGCGTCCGCTCTACGTGGTTTTCACACAAGTCACGTTACACAGGAATGGGTGCGTCGTTTTTAGTTGTTGTTTCCAATTCGTGGGGCCCTACTGAGAATCTCAACCACAAGTGCTTTGTGGGCTATGGCAAATTAACTCACCAAACTGGCTGAAGGTGGGGTAGTCGCTAGGGGGCTTTACAATGTCTGCGTTGGGATTTTGACTCTGGGGGGCAGGGAAGCCCAGCTGACCATGCTGTGGACCGGCAGCTTGGGGCGGAACAGCCGGAGGCCCAAACTGATCTGGCTGGGCGGGCTGCGGGTAGCCGGGGAATCCAGCTGGGAGGCCTGCAAATCACACAAACGGAATACGACATTGTAACAGCAGGTGATATGGGCACATTTTCTTCGTAGATAGGCACGCGGTGACAAAACCTTACGAAGCTTGAGGAGCTGATTAACTATACTGGATTGGCACCCAATTACCAATACCCAGCATTCGCTATTAAGTGATGGTGTTGTCACCAACGGAGCCTGTGTGTCAGGATAGGCACACCCACAACCAGTCAAGATTCTCAGTTGAAAAAGTGTGCTCCATTTACCACCAGGTAAACCGGTGTGGTGATGAAGACCAAAGGCCTAAATATCATGGACCTCAAAGTCACTCTAGTTCGGTGAATCAAACCTTGTTGAACAGGAGGCAGAACTGGGGGACATACACTTGGACATAGTTGGACAGGTGAAAAGGAGAAGAGAGAACTCCATACCGTGTAATTAGTGGAAATCTTTTCTACCGTAGATGATATTAAATATGAACGAGCAGGATTTTTGGACTCTGAAATTAAGGTTCTCAAACCACTTCAGGTTAAATAGTAATTTGCGTCATTGATATTGTTATCAGCTATTTTGCTTATCATTTTATCAATATGTGCAGAGCATTATTATTTTTACGTACAGCGCTGTAACACGCTTCAATATGAAAGGCGCTTTATCATTTAGAGGTTATTATGCCCTACAACGTATGAATTGGCCTACTTCTGAGGGCCAAAACACACTACACCTTAATAGAGATTTCAATGCAAACAAAAGAACATGAGATGAGGCTTAATGTTCATCTTGGCAAGAGGGGTCTAAAAGAGTTCACAGCCAACAGGGACATGATAATACATTTTCCAAAAAAGCCCTACAAAAAAATGAACGTGAAGGAGCCCAAATTAATAATTTTAAATGAAATTAACTGGATTCTCGGACTAAAAATCCAGAGTTACCATTGTCATCGACAACGTCAGCACAAAGTCATCACAGAATGGTGCAATGCCTATTACAGCTCAATATTTACATTGAAAACAAAGCTAATTACAGGTAAACAAAATGCAGTTGTATCAAAATCTAGTTTCAGGAAGCGCAATAATTTGGCTGACTGTAAACAAGATTCATTCATTATAACAAAGATACAATTGTATATCTGAGCATCTGCTTATGTATAGCACTATTACGAGTCACGCTGTTACATTGTTACCGTGAGTATACTGTAACCGCGCCAGTCTCCTTTCCTTTTGTAGTATTACGTATTTGTTTTCTATGCTTCGTGGTATTCATAAACAATTAGACACGGTACAGTATATGTTCCATTAGTTTAATTATGGGTAGTGTTAGGGTAGATAGTCGATCAAATTAAAGAATCATAGGAAGTGCAGAGTGTATATGTAGTGATACGTGACCAGGTCGCGATAGAAAACGGACGGCAGCGCGAGACAGCAGAGAGAAATCGGTAGGGGAGGGGGGAGGCACAACTGTTTCCGAATATGGGATTTGATCTTAATTTGGGGAAAATTTGTTCAGTTTCTGACATACGGAAAATTCGGGTTACGGAAATTTCTCGGGAACCTAACCCTTTCCGTAGCTCGGTTACTGCCTGTTAATGTGATGTTCTTGCTGAAATCAAGAGTTCAAAACAAAGTGCTGAACTGCAAAATATATTCCATTGCAAGGTTTACTGTTTGCCTTGTTTGACACTCCGTTCACTACAGGACAAATGAACAGGCAACACAAAGGCAAATAGATCATACCTACATCATTAACATGTTGTGGGATATCGGTGCAAATGATTCACACAATTGTGTAAATTCACCACAGTTCAATTGCAGAATGTACGCCGAGTGCAACATGAAAACCCAGCGACTTTCAAAGGTACGGTAATTAGTGTTCTTTAGAAGATAAAGACGCGTTAGAAACATGTACTCCAAACCTTGGCCGTGTCAAGTCACTTTAAAAATCTGGTCACATATACACCAACCAGGATTATAAGATGCACTTCCCTCCCAGTGTTTGTTTTAAAATACGTAAAATGGTGCCTCAATTTAGAGAACACAAATTCCATTTAAGTGTCACCAAGCAGCATTCTGTAAAGCTGAAATATGGTCACGTTGAACACTGTGTGCAGATTTTGATTATTATTGTGGCCAGCACCAAACAGCACTATCACGAAGCCTGAATAGAAGAGCGTTAACACACGAGGGAATGAGAAAGAAAAGTTTGACCTGCAATGGCAGTCAGCGCAAGTGCGAGCGAGTTGGTGACATGCAGTATGGTAGACATCCTGAGATCAAACGGTTAATTTGGCAGATCCGAGTCAGCGACAGAAGAGCGATGAGGCAACGGTCAGTGAACCGAGTTGACGGGAGTGAATGTGTGAGTGCTGGACGACGGTGGTACGCACCGTACTGTGGCGCTTGCGAGTACGCCCCCTGCCCAAAGGCCTGCGATTGGGGCGGGGGGTTGTAACTGGCTGGGGCTGGGGGAGGGGCAGGGTACAGGTTAAAGGTGGCAGGCGCTCCTCGTCCAGCAGCAAACCCTCCTGCAACAGCAATCGGAAAGGGCCGTGTGCATTAGGCTAGAATAAGTGCAGCACGTATACAAATGAACACTTAGGGTCCCATATTGTTAGTCACGGCCCAGCTCTGGCTCCGAGTGAGCGGGCTTCAAAGCAATGCTTTAACTTTTGAGCTAGATCTGAGCATGGTCATTAGCCGTGCTGATATTCACGAGTTGAGCCCGAGGTCACTCCATGGATGCACCACTCAAGCCCGAGCTCAGCCACATTATCGAGGACAATCCAGAGCTGAGCCGACTAAGTTTATGGCCCTAGGTCACCGAGATAACACTTTTGCACCCTGAGCTTAGCAAATATGGGGTCAACATTTGGAAAAGTCCATATTCAAGCGCTCATAATTCAGAGGCGGTGCAGACGCATGGCAAGGCAACTGCTTAGCAAAGTGCCTGGCATTACATAATGTATAGATATGGCATCTATCATGGACATCAAGAGACTCACCCATAGGTTGGGGAGATGCCATCCACATTCCTTTGCACACAAACAAAAGTTAACAATTAGCTTAGTGGAATTTTGAGATATACACTCAACCTTAAAGGACAATATATTAACGGTTGCCCCTTTTCACGATTAACACTGAAATTTTTACTTTATTTTGGCTGTTCCATTACGAAAAAAAAATCAAGACAAACGTGCCCAGAAAATTTCGACTTCACACTTTTTCTCAAATGCAAAACATACCGTCATCTAAACGTCGTTACCCGAGCAAAGACAACCGCAGCAATCCCACACCCAATTAAAGTTGCAAGCCGTGTCGAGGGGAGATTATCGGGTGAGCACGTTACCTGGTGCAGCGTAGCCGCCAGGCTGCTGCCAGGGAGCAGAGGGGGGTTGCCCACCCCCCCAGCCATTAGCTGCGGGCATGTTTCTGCTCCCCCACTGACCAGATGTTTGTGGTTTGCCATCCCGAGGCTCGGCCCGCTTCACCTCCACCTACACCGACACCACAAGCTTCATTAGCTCCCTCGGCAAAGCCAATAAACCTGCAGTCAACTTAACACTTTTACAAAGCTATTTTACTATAATAACTTATTACTAATGATAATTTAAAAGACTTACCCTTCAGTAAAGCATTAATTTAAAAAAGCACGTGAAGGGGGCGGCTTAATCTAACGCGCTTACAAAAATATTCAACAACAAAAAACCCAGCAACAATGTATTGTACTTTGTTGTTTAAAAGAAGGCTTAATTCGCTTTTTACAATCTTGCATGGACAATAATAAATTACATTTTATCACAGCAAACGCATTAGCAATGTTTAAGACAATGGTAAACTCTCAAGTGTCTCAATGTTTACATATCAAACTTGCTAAGAATCAAGCAATTCTGCAAGTGTACGAGAGCAGCTAAAAACTTGTTTTCACTTTGCATCACAAACGTGACACCCGTCAAAGAAGTGAAAGCCTTGTTTCTTTTAAACAACAAGATACACCAGATATCTTATACCTGAAACGAACATGTAAAATAATCAACATACAACAAATGACAATGTGAAATTATGTAAAAACAGGTCCTTCAGCAAAGATGAACACCAATTGCTAAACGACAATTGCATAGCTAGAGCAAATGCAATATTCTGAAATACGTAATATCAACGGAAATATCTTATACCTTGATCCACCTGACATGAGCTCTACCCTCTAGAACCAAAACATTTCCTTCACTTGCGTCGACTATCGGAAGATTTTTAATAGCCTGCAGAACACACCATTGGTGTCCTTTTCTCCAAATCAAATCTGCCAGGTATATGCATTTTTATACGTGCAACGTTAAGGGCTAAATATCAATGGGAAAGTAACTCAAGTTGGTATGAAGAGCTCACTGGAGGAATGTCTGCCATGTAATAGCCCCCAGCTATAGCACGTCGGTGTGTTCCTTATCGTCTCTGGATAATGCATGCACACATCCCGTTAGGTAACCAAGTAATGCAATACGTAGCCTCAAATAAAAAAACTAAACTCCGTTGGGAGTGTATAGCGAAATTTAAAGCGGGATTAAACAAATAAAAACCTGTTTGAGAGTGGTTAATGGGAATAACCTAATGTGAAAGCACACACTTTAAGGTGTTTCAAAAACGCACAGGCCACAGCTTGCATGCCAGCAATGAGACAAGCAGCTAAGAGCACTGCATGCAAAGAGAAATAATTGCAAACGTATTGGCGGTATACATATAAATTACGACTATTCATACATAATCTGTAAAAGCAAATGGTTTACCATGCGAGATGTCTCTTGGCTGTTTATAAATGTGACTTCTTAGTCAGGGACAGCAGGTAACAAAACAAGGGCAGTTGCTGCAGCAGAGTTGGGCCATGACACCTGCTGTGGCACCATCAATTGAAATGGCGTTGATCAGAATATAGTGGGATCAGTTGGACAAGCAGAGCCGAGACGTTCACGTCTGCAAACTGATTAAGAGGCAAGCCAGCCACAAGGCTATTGTATGGCAAGGATATAAATCATGTGAACATGCCATCAAACATGCTAAAGGGGGGCAAGATTTATGCATGTCCGTTCCAATATAGTGCTAAGGCAAGGGGCTATTGGTTGCTTGGACATCAGGACTGGAATTAAACTAGTCGATTTAAATTTGAAAAAGCTTGTTATGCCGAGTATTTTTGCTACTTTTTTTTTTTGCTGAAGGATCTGGAATACTGGGACTCAACATTCATGTCCTTCACAGCATGTTACGGCTGTGGGCACAATGTCTTTACTTTAAGCATTAATTGCTAAGGTTTACACAAAACCTGTGAATGACAAAAAGGCTAAGCCCCAGCAAAAACTTAAGTAAAAATAAAACTACTACTACACACTTTTTTGCCCATGATGTCGTGAAAATGCAAGTTGACAGCCTGGTCCACAGATTGCTCGTCTTCGAAAGAAATAAATCCAAAACCTATCCCACGGTGTAGATTGTTTCAAGGAAGCAGGGTGAAGTAACACAAGACAGGATGATGCACAGCATTAGGGGAGGTATAGCCTCTTCACGCTCACGGGCTCACCACGGCATGCTTGGCATTCAGTGGCGCAGCAGACACTTAGCTTTATCCTTATGATACGGGGGTTAGAAAGACCATCAGAAAGCGCTCTCCATGCCAACTCAGCACAGGCAGCAGGGAGAGGCTCCAGATGCCTGCTGCAAACAAGTACAGGCTCAGACAGACTTTTACAAGGCCCATCTTTCTTGACCAAAATTTATGAACGGCGACCGATGCGCAGCTAGAAATGCCACAAGCTGTGCTTTCCCCCAAATTGACGCAAAATGTTGTGGAGGTAAAATCTGACGACTTGTGGAAGCATAAATGCAGCCTACGGAGACCACCACTGCAATTCTCCAGTTTGTGGCATTCCAGGAAATCAGCATCTTCTATGGCAAAATGGTCAAACAGTCCAGAAAAGAGAACAAGCCACCACTAAACAGCCTGTACTCATCTGCAACACCGGTAAGGTAACAGCCACAATGACACCTACAGGGGAATGGCTAAAGAAAAATAATTAACACACATCAATACAAAATCATAAACATTAAGCAAACTATTTACTATAAATTAAAACTTACACAGCTTATAAACTATGGCAACATTAAAATATTACTTATCATAAGTTCTGATATAGTTACAGTGGAATCTGTTTAATGTAGTGATTGACACGGCTGCCATTTATTTAAAAAGCTAGCGCCAATTGTATAAATACAGCTTATACTTTAAAACAGTGCTTCTCAACCAGTGTGCCAAAGCACACGAAGTAGTCCCAGGTGTGCCGCGGAATTAGAAAAGGATTCTATGCGAAGAGAACCGAATCGGAAGGGAAAGAACTTCAAGCTCCCCCGCCTTCCCATCCAATCGTAACGCACCACCAACCCACAGGCCAGGTTCCCCACTGCTCACCGACCACAAGATGCTCTGATTGGCAAGCCCAGCTACCAGCCAGCCGGGGAGAGAGGAACGCGGGAGCCCAGACCGTGAATGGGGGGGAAGGCATGTGGTTGGGGGCTTGAGATAATCAGCAGGACCGGGGTTTTTTTTTCAGGTTGGTGTGCCGCAAAAAAAAGATCGAGCAAGCTCGAGAGCGTGACGTGAAATGAAAATGGTTGAAAAGTACCGCTTTAAAACATTATTAACACTTTAACAATAGCGTAGGAAACAACATTAAACAGACTCATCT